TTTGCCCTTTATCTTCAATTTCCAGCTTTTGATCCTCATTTTCCCCAGGTTTGCACCATTTGCACTTCCCTCAGATAGCTTTGTCTTGAAGGTGTCTGCTCAGAGTTTTGATTTGGAGTGAGGGAAACATCTCTTTATCATTTATTGCACCTTACTTTTTCCCTCCCTTTCTCTTACAATTTTTTTTTCTTTGTTTTTTCAGGTGTTGTACATTGAACTCCGGCAAAAAAAGGTCGCGACGAACTCCCGCGAAAGACGACGACAGCAAAAGAATGAAGGATGTGATGACCGCCGGCGATAAACAATTTCTATGAACTCAGACGACAAATGGATGCGACGAACATCGGCAAAAGACGGGCTCGAAGATCTCTAACAAAAGCGACAAACTCAGAACTTCCAACAGAGAAACTCACGTGATCATCTCTGGAATACTCTCAACCCACCTTTTTTTCCATCGAGAGAAGATTGTCTCTCTCTGTGAAATCTTTTGGGTCTAAGGTGAATTTTTATTTATTTATTTATTTTTATTTTAAAATCGACGACCTACCCTCGATATTTATATTCAGCATTCCTGCCGCCAAACCCGAGTAGACCCGCTTGCACGCATGTTCTGGTCTTCATATCCAAAAAAAATAGTCAATAATTGTTGATTGTTGTTCATTTTTTACCAATGATTCATATTAGGTTATGTCGATTTCGCGTAGAGGAACATAGTACGATTGATGCATGCATATGATCCTGCTTGCGGATAATGTAGTAGTTATTTCATTTGTATTCTATACCAATTTCTACTCGAAGGTTTGGAAGTTCATTTATCTGACTCATTTTATGACTATGATGCACGATCGGTGTGAGGGGTGTCACCGTTTGCTAGTGGTGTCCTAAGGCCCTAAGGTTGAAAAAAAAAATTGCATCTAATTTCAATGTTTCCCGAAATTTAAAAAATATCAAGCCAAGTGAATGGATGTTTGAGGTTCTTGATGCCGACAAAAGTTGTGTCGTGGATTTGCATTCTCGCATTTATTCGTCTAGAAACGACAATTATCTAATATGCCCTACAAGCATGCATGTGCTTGTATAGAGTTTAAGTCAATGCCCGAGTCGTCTATGTATTTATAATCCATACTACCGTGCTAGGATGTATATCCAAGATTATTAGGGTATCCTATACCTACCATAATATAAGAGATTTACATGTATTTTAATTTTAAATCTTACTTTTGAATTATTTTAATACATGGTATGTAAGATAATGAACTATTAATAGATAAAAGTGAGTGATTATGTGAATATACACCATATATAATTACCTTACAATCAAGCCTCAATTTTTCAATAATTCAAAATTAAATTTATAGAATCGTATAGAGTATGTATTCCATCATTGTGGAATTACTACAAAAAAATTGTATTTTCATTTTAAATACTTTTGAATTATTTTAATACATGTAATGTAAGATGATGAAATATTAATAGATAAAAGTGAGTGACTATGTGAATATACAACATATATAATTACCTTACAATCAAGCCTCCACTTTTCAATAATTCAAAATTAAATTTATAGAATGGTATAGAATATGTATTCCATCATTGTAGAATCACTACAAAAAAAATAGTTATATTCCAACGGAAAATTCTATGGTAATATATTCCAATGAAAATTCCAACGGATTTTCCAATAGTATAGCTTCTGTTGGAATGATTCTAATGGAAATTTCTACAAAAATATTTCGTTGAAATGTATTTCATCGGAATTTTAGATAAAATTTGATGATCCCAACGGCTATATTTCCTACGGATTTTGACCGTAGGAATTTCTGTTAGAATATGCAATTTCCGTTGAATTTTTTATTTCCACCGCCGTTGAAAAATCTAATGTAGGAATCGTCAAAATCCAACAGGAATTTCAATAGAGAACTCATTCCAACGATATATTTTTGTTGGAATTGTGGTTGGAAATATTCCAACGGAATTAATAGCAATGGAATAGCCATTGGTATTGCTGTCAGAATTCTATTGGAAAATATTTCCATTGGGATTTCATATTTTTCTTGTAGTGAATCTGAATAATAATGATATTCAATATTATATAATATTATGAATTAGTTAGAAAATATATTGTTTGTTTGAGAGCATTAAGAGTTAAATTCTTGCTTATCTTGTTTTAAAGGTCTTGACTTTGTTTAAAAGCGTGGTCATTTAATTAAGAAAGCTCGACTTAATTACATAGATTCTTATTGCTAGCTAGCATTTTTCTTTGCTCTATTTTCATTTTCATGAAGTCGAGGAGACTCCGGATGATCAAAGTTCAAATATTTCTTCCAAAGCTTGCATTTTATTCAATTGCTCTCAATTCCTAGTTTCAATTAGTCTTAATTAAATCCCAATCATCATGTCTAGTATGTTTAAAACTTTAATATCTCTTTTTGTTCTTTTTGACAATTAATTGATAGACGAAAGCTCCGAAAAGTCTTCCTTTAAGACCGACCCGAGATATAACTCTGTTATTAATTTAAACCCCTAAGAACAATAAAACAAATGGCGTCGTTTTCAAAAACTTTGATTGTTATTTATATTTAAAATTACACTTATCACTTGATGAATATTTTTAAAATCATATTTTTTAATGAGTTTAATACACATAGTAATTTAACCGATAAATAATTTTACTTTTTAATTACTATTGATATATACTTTAATTTTTATTATAAAGGTAACTATGTATATAATATAAAATTAACCATCACATAGCGAGCTTTGGTATGACATCCATACTGCAACACACGCACACACACATATATATATTTGATAACAAATATGGAAATTATTAACTTTTAAAATATATTTGAACTTTAAGTTGATAATAAGAGATCGATAAGTAACATCAAGACATTCTGCATTAGTATATAGAGACCTATTATATCCAGAATTCATATTTTCACATTTTTATTTTAGATTTTCCCTAAATTTGAACATATCTTCTTCATCTTTATCTTATTCCAATTCAGGAAAAGAAAATTAATTAAACAAATGGATCTGAGGCAACAATACAATTTCAATATCACATCTCTTATTTCCACAAATATATTTAATTTATTTTGTAAAGTAAATAGAAACACACACAACATTCAATAATTTATACCTAATATTTTTTATATTATACTAAAACACTTATGGCCTATAGGACTTAAATATTTTCCAAAATATTCTAATGAATACTACTTATAAAATTGGTAAACATTCATCAGC